AGTAATGAAACTTATTGTATATTGTACTCGTAAGGACTTGAGATTTTTCTAAACAATAAGCTGCTAATAAACAAAACACAGTGTCCTGAAATATTATAACGTTATTTTCGTACCAACAGACTAATAATAAACATGAGGCACTATACACTATTTACATTATTCAGACTATTGTCCTCATCTTTGTTGCCATATTTATCACAACGTTTCGGCCGTTGTACGCCCCGGCCTTCTTCAGGTGGTTGGAATGTCGGACTGAACCCATTATTTCGCTTGGTACACTGTTCTAGTTCAACGTGTCTAATGGATGTCAGTTATCAGGCTGCGGAAAGAACCAATTGCAGAAGAGCAGTCCATGAGAACCCCCCCCCCAAAAAAAAGTCATTCTTCCAAAACACCAGAAGAGAAATAGAAGAGACGAAGGGAGACCAAAGGGAAACCAAAGAAAAGCCAGAGCTCTCCATCCACTGAACCCTGCTACCTTACCATGCGGTGGCCGCGGACGTCTCTTCATATCCAACTTAGGACTCACACAGTAGGAAATTTTGATGAGAACCCCAATACTCGGCAACGAGTTCCACTAACGGCGAAGATACACACACACACACACATATATATATATATAATTTCTGTTCTGTTTGGTGTGAATGTCTGCTCTGCGCGAAAATAGCTTCATTTTGCCTAATTATTTTCAGATCAATAGAAGCTCCTTAACAAAAGAACACAGTTCAGTCCCAAACGCAGACATGAATACAAATTCCTATTACACTCATTACAACCACATCACGGCTCCACTGACTAAACATCTAATAACCCATACTCTAAAACTAACAGACTTTCTTAAGTAGTGTAATGGATATTCGCTATATTCAATTACACACAAATACCCTTGCGAAAGGTATGAATCCATCTCTTCTCGCTCCCAGCTATGGGTTGAATAGCATGACAGACTGGGTTCTTTAGCCTTGATTGGCAACCACCACTCTACCACAGAAAGAAACGGCAACTTACTACGGGGACAATTTTCTGCCTCGTCAGTTATATATCGAGAGATACATGATCGCCCACGCGTGTGACACTTAACTAACTGACCAAACATTAGAATCAAAGAAGCCATACGATATATATATATATATATATAGATAGATAGATAGATAGAAATAAAGATAAAATGTAATAAAAATAAATGGGTAAAAAAACTCTTTATTTCATAATTATTTTTGACTTCGTTGAAAATACTTTTGCCAGATGACAGGATAATCCCCAGTTGATGGAATGTCTGATTTACTGAATTCTAGTAAATGGATGACCGGATGGAGTGTGTACATGTAACTACGTAGACTAGGTTGTCGTTTGGTTTCCGCTATACTAAGAATACGAGGACTTAAATTAGAACAAACATAACATTTTGACCAATTGTCATGTGTTTCTAATTTATTTATACTTACCAAGCACTTTCCAAGTATTTAGGGTGTAGACTAAAACTTGTAACTGATGAAGAATCTTTAAAAATAAATAAATTATTATTTCCTTATTTTTAAAGAACGTTAGTTGCCACATGCTGAACGTCTTTAGGCGCCATATTCCTTTAGAATCTGGATGATCATAGCTCTCATTAACGTTCTATCTATAGTTGCTATGTTTCTCCCTGTCCTCGTTTTGATATCAAGCTCGTTAGGTCGCTTTCTGTACCTATTTTTTTTCATTTCAACACAGGCAAGGAAATAAAGCCACTAAGACACAAGGGGTTACTGAGTTTTAAAACAAGCACTATTAAGGAGAGGACAATAAAAGAACAAGAATTAAGAAAACAGAAGAGAACGATTGACATTGCGCTTAAATGTTTTGAAGATCAAAGTTGACTGGGATGCAATAAACCGGAAGAGAGTTCCACAAGTGAAAAGTAAGATAGAAGAAACTGTTAGCATAGAACTTACGGTTACATCTAGCCATTTCAACTGTAAAATGCTAGGACATTGCCAAAGAAAGCCGGAAGAAAGGTTCATAAGCGAGACGTGGGATAGAAAATATCTTGCCTTTTTATATGCCCTGTGAGTTTTAAATTCTTCAAGCCCTCTTTTCTCATTATGGGTTCCAGAAACTTCAAGAGATCCAGACCCACAATCCTGAAATTTTGGATTCCCAAGTTTTCATTTTCTTTTTTTTGCGATTTTTTACGTAAATTTTTTGCGACGAATTTTTTGTATGTAAACAATTTTTATAAATTGGAAATAAATTTGGGATTAACTGAAATTAATTGTGAAATCCAGCGAAAGTCACCCATGAAATAAAAATAGTTGTTTGTACGGGAGGTAAGGACCTACGTACATCAAATTGTCATTAAATTAAAATGGCGGCAAAGGAATTATCGTTGAACTTTTAAAAGGTAAGCTTAAGTATTAATTCTTCTTCAGGACGTAGGCGATCATGACTCTCCACTTCTCCCTATCTCTTGTAGATCTCAATAAGTTTCGTTCCTCTGTCACTTCTCCCAGATTACGTACTGTCATACACTTACTTACGCCCGCCAGGTATGTCATGCGTTGCTTTCCCTTGTCTCTCTTTCCCTCTATTCGACCTGTGAGTATCAGATTCTCCAGGCCCTTCTTTCTCATTACGTGTCCCAGAAATTTAATCTACCTCTTGATAAGTATAACCTTTCCTCCTTGTTTGCATCCTCCCCAAAACCTCATCGTTGCTCACACACTGGGTGCATCTTTAGCATCTTTCTGTAGAACCATACCTCCGTTGCCTCGAATTTCTTCTTCATCTTCGAGGAGACCGTTCAGCATTCGCTGCCGTAAGGAAGGACGTAGCAGCTCAGTACTCTTTTCTTGGTTACTCTGCCCAGCTTTTGGAATGCGTATTTGGCCATCCCAATACGTCTTCGGATCTCAGCGTTGCACTTACTGTGCTCTCTCAAAACAGTTGCCAGATATTTAAACTTCCGCACATGCTTGATTTTAGTGTCCCTGACCTGCAAAACGCATTCCAAGTTCATCCTTTTACTGATGACCATGTATTCTGTCTTGTAGTTTATGGTTAGCCCCTTGATCTCCTTCGGTACCTTCTGTGGGAAGTTTTGTAATTTCTTTTCAGTGTCAGTTATCAATAGTGTCATCTCTGCAGCAATCAATTTTGAGTTCTTCTGTAGTTTATTGTAGCTTATCGCATCTACTCCTCCTTACCTATTATGATGAAGGCAAAGTGAAGAGCCCACTGCAGTACGGCTTTTAAACTAGTATTAAATGCCTTAAGAAGTACAGAAATTATCATTATGATTACATAGAAGACGAAGAATAGCATGGACGGATTATTTTAGCAAAACAAGAAGTTTTAAGGAAAATGGGAACAAAAAGACACTTGTATTTAGAATAAGAAAAAAATCTGTTGAAATTTCTGTAACGTACAACGAGAAACAAGTCTTCCTCATCACGTGCCCCAGACATGTCATGCTCACAGGACACAAGCAAGGGGAGCAGATAGAAACAGTTAGTAACCTACCTAGCGACATTGTGTAAAAGAATGACAGAGACCCAGGACTGTTCACGTCTTGAAGGGAGATGGTACTTACAAGTATATATATATATATCAGTATTGTTTTTAATCAATCGTAGTGATTCCATTAATATTGGAATAGCGATTGCGTTCAAATTCCACCTTCTTGCAGTTTCTATATTCGTGTAATATCAAATTGTTTTGCGATGTTTCTATTGTAAGGAATGGTGGCTAATTCCCAACTCCACGAGAGCGCCTCTCTGCGCCTGCTTGAGGTGGAACAACTACATTGAATCAATAGCTTCATCTACCGCAAGGAAAGTTGGATCTGTGTGTCGCGCCAGAAAGGTTTTTTTCTCACCTGAGGCCATCCTTCAAATCTACAAATCAGTCATTCGCCCTTGCATTGAATACTGCTAGCATATATGGTCTGGTGCCCCCGCTGTTCATCTCGAAGTCCTCAACAAAATCCAGGGACGGATATGCAATGTGATAGAGTAACTGTAGACGAGATGCCAGATCAGGACCTATCAGACATGCTGTGATTTCCCTCTGTCTTTTCTACAAGTATTTCCATGGAAACTGCTCTGACGAACTATTTTCTCTGGTTCCCAAACTGCATGAATTTAAGCGTGCTACTAGGTTGGCATCTTGGTCCCACCCTTTCAGTGTCGAAACGGTTAAATATAGCTGTCTCTTCTACTCCAACAACTTCTTCTCTCGCACTTCCCGACAGTGGAGCTCACCTTTCTTTTACTTGCTGCCTTGATATCTATAATCTTCAAATATACTAATGTAATGTCAATCGACATCTTCTGATGCCTTGATATTAATCCCCATCCTTCTCTTTATCCTTTCTTCAAACACCTCTTTACTCTTGCTCTCACTCTCTGTAACCCCTTGCGTGCTAGTGGCACTCCCGCCTTGCTTGTGCTGATATGAAAAAAAAAAAAATTAAATATCAATGATTTCAATAAACCTGTAAAACCTTAACAAGAAAAAAAAAATCAAGTCAAAAGAAATAAAATCGTAAAACGATAAAATTTTCATAAAATTTTATTGGACAAATTTCATGTGAAAATGAAACCTTTCAAACATTACTCTAGCAACTGTGCTCTCATAAAAACCTGGATCAACAAACAAAAATTATTTTAAATGAAATGTAAATGGTAGTGAGGTGCCCATTATTTTGTGTTAATGCTGAAAGATTGTAAAGAATATAATCCAAATTTAGAACAAAGTCTGAATATATTTCTTCTATTTCTTTATTTAAAAAAGATGAAAATAAATGACTAAAGTGTTTTTACATTTCTATAGCAATCTATCTTTATTTCTATAGCAATCTATCTTTAATTAGCTTATGTTAAAAAATTATTCTTAAAACTTTCGCTTTGAGTAATGGCCAAAAAAGAAAAAAAACAAAAAACAGTTGCATAGAAACTGATTTAATTTTTTTTTTTTAAATTACAAATCAGAATAAAAGACTTCCTGATGGGAAAATACGCCTAATCCATTAATGGAAGGCAGTGTTTGGGAACTTGATCTGAAAAATAAAAAAATGATAATTGATTAGTCAAAAATGTAAAAATAAAAATAAATAACATTATAATTAAAAATCACGTCAGTCAGTTATGTGCCATGCGTGATACACGCTTAGGCGATCATGTATCTTTTGATACATGACTGACGAGGTATATTTTGGTTGCTATTTCTTTCTGCGGTAGACCAGCCGCCATCCAAGGCTATAGAACCTGTCCTGCTTTTTACACATAGCTGAGGGGAGAAGAAAAGGTTTTATACCTTTCCCAAGTGAATGTAATGGATTCGACTGGAATTTGAACACGGCTCTCCGATTCCTCAATCCGAGCCGCTATCCATTACTCCACCTCGTAGCATTCTTATATTCAATGTTTGTATCGGTTCACAATTTCGAAGTAAGTAAAATTGTTTTATTATATATATATATATATATATATATATATATATATATATGATATAACAATGGGTAGCTACGATAGAGCAGAAATATGCGAATTAGTAGGCATACTCATCCTATCATACCTGGCCAGAATCCTGGAGAGAAAGGACACAGGATTATACAGAGATGACGGTCTTATCTTAATAAAGGGAATCCAATGGCCCCAAAGTAGACAAATTCAGGAAGAAAATAGTGAACGCCCTAAAAACATTGGATTCAAAATAGAGATAAATACAGGCACAACTATAGTAAACTTCCTTGACGTCACTCTTAACCTGATCAACAACACATATGAACCATACAAAAAAGAAAATGACACACCAACTTACGTACACACATCCTCCAACCATCCACCTTCTATCATCAAACAAATACCAAAATCAATCAGCCGCAGACTGAGAACTCATCTAACATGCAAATTTTCAATAGCAAAATAGCACTATACAACGAAGCACTAAAAGCAAGTGGTTACACACAACTACAATATATACCTCCACAGCCAAAATGCAGAAACAGAAAGAGAAACATTATCTGGTTTAATCCACCATATAACAAAACTGTTAAAACGAACATAGGCAAAATATTCCTAAACTTAATAGAAAAACACTTCACTGAAGAAAACAAATTATCAAAAATATTTAACAAAAAATAACGTAAAGATCAGTTACAGCTGTACAAAAAACATAACAGAAATAATCAAAAGCCACAACAAAAAAATGACAACCTACAAAAATGTAACCAAGGATCCAATATGCAACTGCAGAAACAGAACAATATGTCCACTCCAGGGAAATTGCCAAATTACGAACACAATATACAAGGCCAAGGTAAGTACAAACAACAACACTATGCACTACCTCGGTGCCACCGAAGGTCCATTCAAAATGAGGAATAACAATCACAACCTTTCATTCAACAACAGGAAATATTCGAACAGCACAACACTTTCTACATACATATGGCAGCAAAAAGACAAAAACATCACACCAACAATAAGTTGGGAAATATTGAAAAAAGCCCCTGCCTACAACAACATTACGAAAAAATGCCTACTTTGCCTAAATGAAAAAGTAGCAATAATATCACACAAACCGCAAAAGAACTTGCTAAACAAAAAATCAGAGATAATCTCCAAATGTAGGCATGAGAACAAGTACCTATTATCCGAATTCATACCAAACGGATAAAACAGACAAACCACCAACAATCACAATTTAATTTAAAGATACCATCAAAATAATTGCACCTATCATTATTATAATTGCACCACCATTAGTAATCACTTTTACCACTTTACAATATCTATTAACTATCAATATTATCATTACCACCAACACACAGCACCATCACTTACACATCACACCCAATATTAACATATAATCCACTACAATCTTTATTAATCCCCCAGCATATTTAATACCTTAAAACAATATGATCAGATATAATTTCCATATGTAACCATGTGAACAAACACCTATTACCAGGCAGCTTTAATATAATAACAATAATAATTTTAAAATTAAAAATTATAGTAATCTTCAACAACCATAATTTTACACAGAATACCTATTATCAGGATTTATACCAAAATAAATTAATACATAAAACAAAAATAAAATAAAACACCAACAACCACTTTTTAGTTCAAGCTACCACCACTATAACTACATACATGGTTTTATCATTCTCCCACCACCGTTACTAATCATTTCTACCAATTTGCAATTTCTTCCAATTTACAATAACTATTAGCTAAATATCATTGTCTCCAATCCCTTGAAACATTACTATCACATCATATCATATAGACCCGTTATTAAATTTAACCACCCTCTCACCCAATATATTAAATATCACCATATAAATTAAACAATAAGGATTACAAATTTTTACCTGTTACATATACACAGTCACCAGAAACAAACAAATAACCAGCTTTAAAAATAACAAATAAACCCCCATTTTTTTCAAAAATTTAAAAATAAATATAAATAATAATAATTTTTACCTATCATAATTTTACAAAAACCCACCACACGTATATACATACATGCGAGGAAATATTTTTCAGCGAGAAAAAAAAAAAAAAAAAAAAATACATAATATGACATGGAGACATTAACGAGACATTTCCGCAACACTTCCAATGTTTAAATTTCAACATACAAATGCGTATGTATAGACATAACACCACCCGTATACATACATGTGTCATAGCCGAAACTGCCCACATACGTTTATATATGTATGAGTCCCGACGGACGACCAAGTATGTATATGTGTCTGCATATATCGATGTTTGCGTTAGTACGATGAATGACAAAACGACGAAATTTCCCCCACCACTTCCACAATAACACCAATACACGCAATCTACATAAACCCAAATTTTTTAAAACATTAATCAGTTTGTCTCACGATCGCTAAAGCGTGAAGCCCAGGGTCACAAACTCACATCTATCCAAACCATATATATATATATATATATATATATATATATATATATATATATATATATATATATATATACGATGTATGTGTATGTATATATGTGTGTGTGTATGTTTAGGTATGTATGTATACATTTATATCTGTATATGGGTATGTATAGTTAGACGGATAGATAAAGGGATACATTGTTTATTTGTTTAGATGGATGCATGTAATTGTAGGGAGATGTAAGTTTTTTATGTATATATGTTTATGCGTATGTATGTGCATGTCCGTATGTATATATTTGTGTAAATGTGGATATATATGTGGAAGTATATGTATATATATATATATATATATATATATATATATATATATATATATATATATATGGGTATGTGTGTACACGCCTATATGTATGTACGTGTAAATATAAATATGTTGTTGTGTATGTGTGTATACGCATGTGTTTTTGAACATAGAAATATAGGTCCTTGCTAGATTAGATAATCGTTATGTTTCTTTTTTTATATGTTTATATTTGATTTGTAACCTGTAGTCGATATTACTTTTGTCAAATTTTCTTGATTACACAGCGGTTCTTTTATATATGCCCTTCGATTTTAGTTCCTCCCACCCCCATCTCTCTCCTCCACCCCTTTTTCTTTTCCTCTCCCTCTCTCATCTTCTGATCTTTAAGATTAGATCGTCTATTGTGTGTGTATGTCACCACAAAATATATCTTTATATTTCTCTCACTTAAACTGTCTTTGACTCCCCTCTTTAAAATTTCTCTGTTAAATTTTAACCCCACCTTCATCTTTAGACCTTCCTGTTCTTCTCTCGTCTGTTACCCCTCCCTATAGCTTTCATTTACTCTAACATTCGTCCCACATTCTCATACATACACTCTCACTAAATTTTATTTTTTATTCCCGGAGTTGTTTTTGCTGTTTTCTTTTTGAATTTGTAGGTCTGATGAATTGGATCGTATTTACGATTCCAGTGGAATAAATTATGACCAAAGCCTTTTTATTATATATATATATATATATATATATATATATATATATATATATATATTATATATATATATACTGCCTCGTTTAAATATACTTGCGCTACCGTCCACGCGCCATGATCACAAATCCATTCATGGGCCAATATGGTTGTGAAAAAAACTTTACCATTAAATGACTAAACGTTGCCAGGAGACATTTCTAAATATTTATACATGACTATCTAACAATTGGACAATTTTGCTATTACACCCGGTATATATGTGATTTATTCGCAATCTAATATTTGTATTATTTCAAACATTTAATGGATACTATATTTTGGCTAAAATAGAGGCCCCAGTTTTTATTTTCACTTTAAACAGTATTTATTAAATTTTTCAAACCCTCTTTTCTCATTATACGTTTCAGAAATTCAACTGTCTTTCTGATTCGAAGTATAAAGGGTTCTTTCTGTTTCCATTTTTCTTAAAAATTCTTTGATTACACGCTCCGTATATGACATTCTTAGCATCCTCCTGTAGAACCACATCTCCGTGGCCGGACATTTGGCCGAACGGACATTTCCCCGAAAAAATATGAGTAAAAATAGTAACAAGCAATACTTTAAGTATTTTAATTATCAGTATTATAAGACAGAATAGGACTAATAGTTACCACTGAATTTCAAGTGATTAAATGACTAAATCTAAAGTTAAGTTTCCTTATTTCAATATTTGTTTATTGAAATTAATATTTTTAAAAATATTCGAGTGTATTTGGATAAAAAGTAGCACCTAATTATTTAAGTTCATATTCAACAGTAAGATAAAAACTAGTTCATCCCTTTAAGCTAATGATGATTAAAAGCGAAATTGAAATTCAAGGACACATGGCACAGTGTATAAAGGCATTGGTTAGATCCAGTGTCAGGACCCAAAGAGTGTGAGTTCAATACCCGGTTAAGGCAGTGGAGAACTTGGAGAGAGGAATTAACAGGAGATAACTGACATCCATTAAACATGGCACGTGGAACTAGAACAGTGAGCAAAATAAAGGGTTCAATTCGACATTCCAACCACCTGAAGGCGGCCGAAACGTTGTGACAAATATGGCAACAAAGATGAGGACAAT